CTTTTTAAAAATAAATACAATGAATTATAATTACAGAACGGATGTTTGGAATGATGAGCGTTGCGAGTGCAGCCAACCCCTACAAGTTTATGTTCAAATCAATGTGCTCTACGTATTCGTGTCCTGACGTCATTTATCATCAAAAAATTGATCGCTCCTAAACTTTAAACAGTTGTAACTTGTTGAAAATAGAATAATATAAAAAAAATTTGGGTGGTCTTTTGAAAATCGATAGTTGATACCAGTTAAGGGTATAAGGAATAGTAGTAAAAAATTCATTTTTTGTCTAAAGTAGCTCAACAAAGAACCATTATTGTTAAAAAAATGAAATAATGATCAGTTCTAATATTTTTCAAGTCATTTCCTGAGACAAAATTAAGGATACATTCTATATAAGAAGTGAAAATATATTATTAAATCATTTGTACTTAAAGCATATAAAGCAAAAAGATTGAGTGTCAATAGATTTTATAAATTCGTGAACTTATTACTATTATATTTTTAAGTTTTTAATGACTAAAAAAACTATTATTTTATTATGATATCTCATTGTTCATAAAATATAACTATTTTGAATCAAACTCAAGAAAAGCTTTCACTTGATTTTTTTCAGTTTCAATTTTTGAAACAAATACAATTATTATAGCACATTTAAATTCAAAAATATTAACAGTATAATTATTTATTAATTATTCTTAAACTGTGATGTAAATGTGTACTTTAAATAATTTCTCTTATCGCTGATTAGTATGGATACATTTTTTCAATTTTTGTAATTCAATATTATTATTTTTATTTTATGGTACTAGCTAACACTAAAAACATAATTTTTAAAATAATTAAGTAAATTTTTTTAAATTATTTTCCTAATTTTATTATTTTTTAAAAAATTTTAAATAAAAACTTCTGTTTGGACATAAATGTTATTATATCTTAACAATGTACTTTAGCGGTATGTTAGGTTAAATCATAGCGTTTAAATACAAATACTCTAGAAGCTTCGAATTTAATGTTAATACACAATTACAAAGGTGTTCAATAACATTCGGCTCAATGACTTTTTAATACAAAGTTGGTCGTAAAGACAATGTATGACTTTTAGAATAAAATAAAACATTATTTTAGTGGATAAAATCGATCAAGCGGAAAGTGTTAACCTTTAAATTCGCTCCCGCAAATCTTATCATGCCTAAAAGAGATTTTCAATGTGATATTTATTGTGATATATTTTTTATTTTAAGATATAATACATGATTTATAAAGTAAACCTTTATAGAATTATTTATTTTTTATTTTATTTAGGAATAAATAAACGTTTTTTTCTTATTAAAAAAATTTAAAATGGTATAATATAAATTGTAAAATTTCTAATAAAAAAAAAATGAGCACAAAAATTATTATTTTTAAATAATAAAGTTAACTAGAAACAAATTAATGGCATTATATACAAGATAAGTTAGATTATATTATCATTTGATTTGTTAAATAAGTCATTGAGATACATAACTACTCTATAATAAAGTGTATGTATATTATAGATAATGTATTAAACGTAATTTATTCATACAATAATTGTGAATTTAACTTAATATGAACAAAAATATTGGAGTTTGAACCGTATAATATACTTTTTGATTTCCAAGTCTTCCACGAATTGATAATAAAGGAAAAATATAGAAATATGATGTACTCAAATTTGATTTTAAATATTCCAAGATGCCTATAACTTTATAATAATTATATATGTATAAGACTTTGAACTGAATTTAAGAAGGTGGTTCTCTACTAGATATTTAAATATTTAAAAACCATTGAGCCTAAAAAAAATTATATACTAATTTTAGTATAAAATTGTAAAATATGTTCACTAATTTTTCATTTTTAATTCAAACTCAAGTCAGATATTTATTATTAACTTGAAATATCAATTAAAAATTACCTACTTTATCTCAAAATTTATTTAATAATATGAATAATAAAATCTTCTAGATTATAATAAATGTTAACGATTAATTTTTGCAGTAAAATATTATTGAAGATAATATCTCTCAATTGTATTACTCAAACTATGAGTTTACATCTAATTAGCATAAAAAATCATATACCATAAATCATTTTCGAAAACGGTCAAGAATTGCTTTATTTTGATCAGTAGTCTCAGTCTGCTTATGTACCCGTAATGACGTCTACTTTTCCAAGAAAAGCGGACAAAACCATAAATAAATCAATTTAGACTAATTGAATTAACCAATAAGTTCTCGGAGAAAAAATTGGTAAGCTCGATCGTGCGTACATAGGGCTCATCCAATAAAATCAGTAAAATTATTTATACAAGCATAACACATGTAGAATGTTCAGTAAGTAAGGAAACGGATTTCTATTGTTCTCATTGTTTGTAACAATTGACTTTTTTCTATTTTTTGCACACTTTATATATATATATATATATATATATATACATAAGGAATCATCGATTAAGATTAACACACTCATTTTCTTAAAAACTATTGAATAATTTCAATTTTAAAAAAAAAAATTATTGTTTGCTGTAAAATACTACAATACTGAGTAGGTTAATAAATTTAAAAAAAAAAACCAAAACTTTAATTCTCTTAAATAGGAACCCCTATTTTCAGCTTGATTATATAATACAAAAAAATATTTTCCAACAATTTTTCTCTTATAATTTTTTTATTCGATCAATATTTTGCGTTTTAAAATTGTTAAATAGTTCGAATTTAAAATAGAAATTTATCATTAATTTCATTTTCATAATACTAGAAGCAATCGTAATATGTTTTAATATTTCATAAATTATTATCAATATTTATAAACATTTATAAACATTCATTTTTGTGATACCATGAAGAGTCCATAACTACTGTATGTAAACAACAAATTATCAATAGAACATTGGTTAAAAATTGCTAAAATATAACAAGCAAATTTTGACAGGTTGATAACCAATATTATGTTATTATGTTGTTATAATTTCTAGTTATTAACGAGCGAATTTTGCAATGTAAAAAACTACTTATCTATGCGATATGGTATAAAAATAATTATAAAATATAAAATGAATGAACACTACACTACTCCTCACCTTTTCTAAATTGTGTTATTAAATTTAATATCTCAAAAGTAGTAATACAAAACTAGTTGTTGACCAGTCAAAATTTGATTTTAACTATATTCCATTTAAAAGTAAAAAAATAACTATAGGTTTTTGATTTACTTTCGAAAGATACTTTTAAAATCTACCCTTAGGAATAAATTTTTCTTACAATACATTGGATACAATGATCTATAAAAATAAATTAAATTTAAGTCCATCCATTTTTATGAAAAAAAAAAAACATTATTTAACGAAAAAAAAGAGTTGTATAATTAATAAATCACATTAAAATTGCGTTGCATGTAAGTTCAACTGTATGCTCTACAATCTTAAGGTTAGCGGTTTGTATAACCGCGTTCTGTTAACAACAAGCGTTACGTTGTGTGTGTGTGTTCGATATTGTTTTTTCACGTAGTCATACTCAGATTGAATGTCTCACTAAATTCTTTATCGACCTAGTCACATTTTCCATTTTACACACAGGTCCTCTTACATACATTTTGTCACACGTTTTGGCTCGTATTGAGTGCACTTGCTAAACCAAAAACGACATGCACGTGACGTCCAATAAATTTTCCTTTATCCCCGTGCTTAATACTTCTTGTGTTGTGTATTGGTGACGGAAGGTTGTTATTACTTTTATTATTTATCGTTTTGCATAATGTAAGCTTGTAGTTATTATTTTTTCATGAAATCCAATTTGGCTGACATATTTAAAAATAAATTAAAAAGCCTCAAGTTGTATATTGAAAAAATAATAAAAAAAAAAAAGCGGAGTAGTAGACTTATAATTTATAGTTAAACGCTGTTGGTGAATATGCAATTAAATATATATTACCGACCACCGTCTTTCTTTTATTCTTGACGCTTTACTACATAATTATAATATATTATAACTTTACAATACAGTTTTAGTTGAGTAAATCAAGTAAGTAGCATTGGCTTAACGCAGCAAAATTTACAGCCTTAGTAGGATTTTATTCTTACATTACAATTTTATTCAATAAAATTTTTTCTAAATTTCCTGTTTTATTTTCTAAGTATCTAGTTTTTAACAAAATTAATATAATTCTATTTTGTGAGTTATCCAAATAAAAAAGGAACACTTTATAAATTAAATCATAGATTTTTTTGTACTTCATTCAGAATTTATTAACTTTAAAGTTGTTTAAAGCTCTGAAACGTTTTTAAAAACAATACTATTTTTTATACTTTATTTCAACGTCGGTTGTGTTGCAATGATCTACTGAAAAAAATTATTTAATCAGTCACAATGAATAATGATGAAATAATTTGTATGTATAAAAAATATTAACGAGGATATGTTTAACCACAGGCAGCTATTAATGTTATTATGACAAGATGCGACAACTCGAGTACGTCTCGTTTCTACATTATTGTATATCACCAACACATACGACCATTGTGTTGAAGTGATGGGCCTCTAAACTTTAATAATAGTTTCACTATAAATATGTATAATACGAGGAGAGTTGTACTCGTACATTTGTCCTCGGTTAATATTCCTAGTAGATAATAGACTAGGCTTTACACCCACTTAATTATCATTTACAGCGACAGTGAAAATGGTAAACTTTTAAAAGCTATTCGTTTCAATTAAATACCCATATAGGTACAATATTATTTTCTATTTCTGGTCTAATACTTTAATACTTTGTATGGCCATCGATTATTGCTAGCAACAAGGCCAGAAGAGCTTTTGAATGAGCCCATTATACGTGTTTCTTTTAATGCATAACACAAATACAATACACATCAGTGTATGTGTGTTTGTTAGTATATTTACTAAAGGGATTGAATACAAACCCAAATAATACGTATGTATTATAAACAGTACTTTTTATACGATTGTTTTTTGTTGTAGGTCTCTTGGGTGAGGCATCGGGACATACACCTGCTGACCGTTGGACGCTATACATACACTGGTGACCAGCGGTTTCGGTCGATTAATCAACCGCCTAGTGAAGATTGGACACTACAGATCAAATACCCACAAATCAGAGATTCTGGAATATACGAATGTCAAATATCCACTACTCCTCATATCAGCCAATACATTAATTTGCAAGTAGTCGGTAAGTAAAACACAACGTTTCCATTTTTGTTTAGAGAAAAATTGTCTGCATTTATTTCACAGTGTGTTATTATATTGTTTAATAATAGTATAATTAATACAATGCACAGTATCAGATTGTTGTCGTTGAAGAATACTTTATGTTTTTCAAAGATTAACACAAAGTTCTAAAATTTGAACAATAAAAACATTTAAATAATAACTATCGCTGTCAAATAATATATTTTTTTGAAAATAGGAAAAAAGTTTTATAGATTTTATGCGCCCGTTTCAAAAATTGTAAAATGACTAATAATGTTATCAATTGTTTTGTAGTATAAATATCAAGAAAAAATTCAGTAAAATAGAGGATTGGGTTTTTTATGGGATTATCATAATAACAATTGCGATATTTACTATATTTAAAATAAGTAATTTGTAATCAATGAGATAATTTTAAATTAGAATAAATCAAACAGAATATCCTATTTTTAACTATGGAAAAATTATCTAAATTAAAATTTTATATACGATTCTTTTCCTAACTCAATAATTATTATTATTTTTATCTGTATATTTATATATAAACGAAGGTATCTGACATAGTTCATTATTCATATTATAGGTGGTAAATCACAGCAATGCGCGATGGGTATATTAGTATATTATAAAATTAAATACATAACAATTTGTGTGGATTAATTTAGGTGAAAAAAAGTGAAGTTTTATAAAGCATTAAAATGTTTATTTAAGGATTAGTACATAACCAATTTGATTTAAAAAGTAATTGTAAAACCATTTTACTAATAAAAGACACTTAAAGGATCATCATCAATATCACTTAACAATAAACCAACAAGTTTATAACTATTTGAACTTAATAACACCTTTATTAAGATAATTGTTAACGTAGCTATGTTTAGTGAGTATATCTTTCGCTATTGTTTTAAATAAATGGAACTTTGCCGTTTTATTAAATTTTTAGTTTGTTTTAAATTAGATGGATATAATGTTTCTTAAGGTCACAAGTACAATTTTATGTCTGTAATTTTTTTAATTATTAGTAGCAATTGTGTTGATTAATAATTTATAATCAAAATATTTAAAAAAATACATTATAATTTTAGTACTGCTGTTATTTTTAATGTTGTCACTATCATTATTTGTCATAACATATTTATCTATTTTTTATTATTTTATTGTATACTTTAACTTTAAATTTTTTTAAATTAGTCCCGGTACAGTGTTTTCCTCATCCGTGCATTTCACATCAACCTTTACGAAATAGATTCGGGATCAGAATAATAAATACACGGTAGCCTAGTGGCAAAGTCCAAATCTCGCACCGTGTCTCTTTTTTACACTTGATTTCCGGTACACTTTCGTTGAACGCCTGTCAATCCCCAGTGGCTGCGTAAAAAAGTTCTTTTACCCGTTAAATATAAAATAAAATAAACTTTTAGTAATTATTGATAACGGTTAAACTACAATTATGGCTAATGATAAAAGTGGTAGGGCCCGATGTCAGAATATTTTGTGTGGTTCTTATATGCATTTTTTTAAAAAGGACCTCCTGTATTGATTTAGAAATTTATTTACCATAAATGTAAAAATCAAGAAAGTTATAGAGATAAATTGTCACATATATAAATTTAAAAATAATGGTAGTCCTGTGTATATGTAAATTTGTTTACACAGTTAAAAAAATATATATAAATTCAAATAAATAACTTTTTCAACTGTTTTCAATTGGTAATATTTCATTGATCATGGTAACCCATTTCCCATTGAAATACATTATAGTATCTTCTCGCATTTAATTAAATTTGCTCTCTTTATTATTACTATTTGTGTTTATGGTAACTATAAAATAAAAATATTCATTTTCTTACGTTATTTTATTACAAGGATTTCTATTAAGTACTTATAATAGAAGCAATAATGGGATATATTTCTATACATTTTTTCCAACGTAAATGAAATTCTGTGAGTTTATGTTTTTTTCTTAATACAAAGTTACAGTAATGGAATATTAAGAAGGATTTGTATTTAATTAGAGCATTAATTTTATTTATGCATACTTAAGATTGGTGGTTTTATAAAATCTTCTAACAAAATCTAAAATATGTATAAAAAAAAATTATTTTGGAATCAATTTATATTTATATTCATATTGATCTAATTTATTAGAATATTATTTACAAAAACAATACACACACCAAATCATAATAAGTTGTTTGTATGAATTACATATTTAATAAAATTTATTTAAATTAATCAAAAACTACTGCTATAGAATTTTTTTTCATTTTGACTCTACTCATGTGAAACTTAATTAAAATTTTATAGTATTGTAGGTTTTATATTTTTATAATTAATTGTCTATTACCATGTCATTACAATTTATATCATAACGTTTCCGGCTCTTAATAATAATTTCATTAGTTTTTAGAGCATTTTATAAGTAACTTTTGATATGCAAAGCAACTAAGTTTAAGAAAATGTTCCACTTACACGAAATTGACCGGATGTATATCACTTTATGAAATTGTATTCTTTTAAGTTAAGCTATATAAGATATATTGATCCAAAAGGTACCTTGCAATTGCGTTAAAAGCTGTATCGTGTTTTTAACTTATGTTGGATATCCGAGTTCAAAACAAAAATAAAAATGTATAAAATAAACTGTCTTCTAATTTTTACACACTAATATATATATATTTCACGTAGTTGAGTTAATAGTGAACTTGAATTTTTTGCTCTGAACTATAAACAGTGATTGATTTATCCATGATCAATATATTTTATCTAAAATTATAATAATTTAAAATAAATATTTTTTTTTTTTGTTTAGTATTATTTATTATTCGATTTATAAGTGGTTAAATGTTTTTATATTCTTTATCTCTTAAAGGTACCAACTTAATTTTTTTTTTAATGACAATATACACATTTAGCTTGGTTAAAAATTAGAAAATGATCTAAGAAAATAACTTCGATTATAACTTTTGAATCAACATTTTTGAAGTTATTGTATGTGATTCTCTGTCTTTTTACTCTCAACATATTATAAAAGTATTCGTGTCTCTTAAGCTGCTGATTTAAAAGTCATCGACCAGTCATTTTCTGAGTAGGATCGTTTTCTATTAAATGAGTTTGTTGATATTTATCAATATCATGTTAACTCTATTTTATCAAAAAAGACTAAATATTGAATTTTAATTTTATATTAACTGTAATATTTTAGTATTTATAATTTATTAAAACTTTATACTAGTGAAGATTTATTTAATATGTCTCAGCATATAGATAAGTTGTGCTTAAATGTATTTCCGAACCAGTTATTCTTTATTATTCCTTTTTTCTTAGGTTGATACTCTAAAGTGAAAAGATTTTTTTTAAGCTATCCAATAAAATGAAATTACATTAAGTAGCCCTCCTCCAATTTTGTTTTAAATTTCGTAAAAAAATGGTATTCATAATTAGTATGAATGATTGTTTCATAAGAATTAAAGAGTAAATATTCCAATTTAAAAAATATTAAATTATGGATCAATACTAAATATCAATTCTTTGTAAAAAATGAGAATCTAATATGTCTACAATCAACTATAGCATAGAATGTTACTTGATTAAAATTTACGTGAATTACTTTAAACTTTTGTACGTAACTAGATTATTTAATGAAGATTTAAATTTATTTTGTCTATAAAACTCCATATTCAAAATGTTAATGTACTAAATGAACTGCTTGAACTTATTTGTTATTTACGAATAAAGTCCTAAATAATTAATACAGTTACGGGCTGAAATCTTAACTTTAGTAACTCAAATATATTTTTATTTGTATTTTAACTATCTAGACATTTATACTGCACATTTTAATGTAAAAACAAATAAATTTTAAAAATACTATGAGCTATTAAATCGCTGGTGTTTTTTCCTATATAATAAAACAAACATATTTTAATTTATAGTACATTAGATTTTATAGTAAGATAATGAAAATTTTGAATTTTATTATTGATACAAGTTTGCATTATAATTAATTAATTTTTTTTTGGAAAATGTAGAATGTCTGCAATTAAATATACATTTTATTAAATTATATGATATAATATATTTGATTAATATTAAATAAGTTTTTACTACTTGAATTGTAAGTGAAAACAATTGTAGTATGATATAAAAATTTTACATAAATATAATAGAACCAAAATAAAAAAGTATATCCGTAGTTTAACTATTTAATATTTTGTAATTTATACAACCCTTATTTTTCACTTTTTTTTTTTTAATTGAATAAAAACAACTGCGTTTTATACTTGCAAACCTGAAACTCGTAAAACAATAAAAATACCACTAATAAATAACAAAAATATACATATGCTTTTACGAAGTTGTTTTAAATGTTAATTAAATAGATAAATTTTATTTTGCTTAGACAAAGTACAAACTACAGATTTTAATATTTTTCAGTAATAAAAAATCAACATTTCTGTAGTGTCACTAAGAAAAATTGTTTAATGTATTGTATTGACAAAAAAAAAATAATCTACTGCAACTTTTTAATAAAAATATATTATATACATGAATTAATATGATGTATTTATCGATTGAAATATAGATCTAGTAATCACATTGGTAAATTTCACAGTAATTAAAAATAATTAAAATTTATTTAACTTTATTACATTACTAATATTTTTATGTTTAAATTAACTAAAGCAGTTTGAAATTTTGGTAAAATATGGAAAAACTATTATTTGATAACTATTATCTTGTTTGATATTTATATTGATATGGTTCGTTCTTTTATTAATAATAGCAAATTCAATGTCGACTTAATATGAATACATCGTAAAATCATTAACTGTGTTAAACCAATTTTATTTTTAGTCAAATGAATTTTTCTTTTAATTTTATACAAATACTAAAATATCATTTAACTATGGTTCATTTTTAATATTCAGTAGTGGACATTGGGTCTAAAATATCAATTTTACTTGGTCGTTAAAAAAA